GGTAGGACCAACATTTGCCTTTAGTTGCTTGGCTGGTCCTGACACAGTGGACCAAGACAATCTTGGTCCAAACTTTGGCCCCGCTTCCTAACCCCCCTGAGCATTTGCCTTCTCATCTACAAAATGGGGATAACAGCGCCACCTCTAGGCTGCAATGAGGAGTCGGTGAGAAGACCATGTGTGAAAGACCCCAGGACTGTGTGTAGCTCCTAGTCCGTCCTCTACAAATGCCAGCCCCCCTCGGTTCTTGCCCACTCGGCCACAGCTGGGCATGCACGGGCTGTGGCCAGGCAGCAGCCAACACACGGATACAAAAGGAGCCCCAGGTCGGAAAAGCCCGTCTGTGGCCCGCCATCCATCCTGCTGTGCAAAGCTATCTTGAGCCATTGCTCCTTGGAGCCAGCACAGGGATTACGGACGGACCACAGGAAACTGAGCAAACTAAGATTGCTTCCTCCTCCTCTCTCGTGCCACGGGAGCTGGCAGGGTGTGGCAGCAGCCGGGGGCCTCCGGAGTCTGCAAGTTCAGAGTGGATGGCTGGCCCAGCAGGCAGGGCCGGGGCCAGCCCAGGGCCACCACTTCCCATCCCACAGCTTCCGGTGCCCACCTGCACACAGACAGGTCAGCCCGGCAGGGTCAACCTTTTCACCCCCAGGGCCTTTGCACAGGCTTTTCTCCTTGGCTTATCTATCCCATCCCTCCCTCATCCTTTGAGACTGCTCCCAAATGTCAAACACTCCAGGAAATTCTTCCTGGCCCCCACCCTGGTCCAACCACCTGCGGGACCCGGACATTCTGCATTTACCGCACATGTCACACTGCCTTGCCAGCTCTGTCTCCCCACTAGACTGTTTCTTGAAATTAGAGATGGTGTTTCACGGACACCTGCAGCACTGGTGCATAAAACAGCGCCTGGCATATAATCAGTTCGTTCATTCTTTTCTTTCTGAACGTTTATTCTGATGCATCCAAGTGGTCCTCGGTCTATTGTGGGTGTGTGACCATGCAATGATAAACCAACGTCTTCGGCTTATCCTTGGTCCTGTGTTTCAAAGCACTTGAACTCCACTGGGTCAAACACACTGACTTGTGGCTCTGAGAATTATTGACTGTGTGTCCTCGGGTAAATTACTGAACCCTCATGAGCCTAAGTCGCCTTACCTGTCACCCACCGATTCAACAAACGTTTATGGAAAATCTGCTGGAGGTCTGTCCCAGATGCTGCGGGAAGGGACAAAGTCCCCTGCAATCCGGTGGCACAGCGGGAGCCAGAACTCACCTTGCTCATCTACCTGGCTTCCTCCATGGGGAGGCCGTCCGCAGGTGCCGCCGTGGCTGTCCTTCCTCCCCCGCAGCGGCTGGGACGCCAGGCAGGGCCTGGACCATCCCCAACTCTGCACTCTTCTCCTGAGACACTTCATAATCACACTTCATTCTGAGTTTGATAAATAAAGGTAATTGTGGGACAATTAGACTCTCTTCTCTTCCAACATCTTAATTGGAGCAAGACGCATGAGTCTTTCTTGTACATCATTTTGCCAGGCGCATCTGGGCCTCCTCATCCACCGTAGGAAGAGTGATGGCTCAGAACCCACTGCCGTGACACGCCTGGAAGCCAGCAAGCAGCTCCTGTGCAGCCCCCGACTAATCGCTGTGGATGTCTCCTGTCACATGCCGGGAGGGTCCCCCAAGTAGATCATGGCCTTGTAATCACCGTCATCAATCACGTGGCGGTGGTGATCTCCACAGCACCTGTGCGAGTGAGAAGCACGTGACTTCAGGAATCTGAAGATCCAAGTGCAAATCCCAGCTCCGTCGCCAATTTGCTTTGTGACCCCGGACAAACTGCTTAACCTCTCTGAGCTTCAGTTGCCCCAGAGAGGGACGATCATCCTTAAGACTATCAAGTAAGGCAACGATTCCTAAAAGACGGGGCAGGTAGCACCTGTGTAGCCATCTACCCACCCCCACCCCCACCCCTTCCCCTCCCCGCCAGCCTCCATCTGCAAAAACTGGCCAAGGAAAACCTGACCAAAGAGAGGGAAGGACAAACATGAGGCCTTTCCCTCGGGATCGGCAGCTCAAAACCGCACGCTATTGTTCAGATGCACAAAGGAAAAGTAAATATAGCTTCCTTCTAGCTCTCACAAATGATCTCATCTCACGCTCACCTACTCATCCCACTGATGGTAGAGGCGGGGTGGAGGGCTCTTAATTGGCAAATTCATTACCGATGAGATCCGAGTCTGTCCCTCTTCAGTTGAACATGGTCTCTCTGGGGTTAACTCTGTTGCCTTGGGGTGAACGCTCAACGTTTCAAGGTTTCCCCCCTTCCCACTTCTCCTTCCAAATACGGCGACAGGGGCTAGAGGTGGGTGGGGAGAATCCGACCGAGCTTCCTGGAAGCAGTGGGGTGAGGTCTCCCGTCTGTGCGTGGCCCGCCCAGTCCACACACGGGCAATCCATTCAAAGCACCTCGTCCTACAAGAGAGCGTCCTACAAGAGAGCAGGTGGCGGGCCCCAGCAAGGTCAGACACCCCTCCTGCCAGCGTCCTGTTCCCACGCCCACATCCTACCTCCTTCTCCACGTTGCGTAAGTGGCAGAGTTGGATCATCGGCACTGATGCCCTAGGACCCCGTGTAGGGTTTGGGGGATCTGTGGTCTCATCCCCACCAGAAGCTGATGCCCAGGAGGGAGGGCCCCTGGGTGTCTCCTTAGGCCCCAGGCCATGTCCTCCTCCTGGTTCCTGCTGGCCAGAATCCCTGCTTTGCCCACCCCCCACCCCCACCCCCCCACCGAGGTGGCTGAGCCTCCCCGTCCTCTGCCTGTCTGGCCAGAATTTCCCTCTTCCTCTCCTTCCATCTCCCTGCGCTCCTCCTGTGATCACCCAGACAGCCAGGCTGGGCTCTTGATATGCAAAGAGGACTTTAGGGACTTACAAAGCCTTCCCCTCTCTCAACAAAGCCCGGCTTTCAAGACCATTATCTGGCTGAAGACTGCAGGATCCTATTCAGTCAAAAGCCGAACATCAATTCTCCTCTTTTGTGCTCCCGATCCTCAATCCCATTCCTAAAACCCTGGACGCCTCTGGCTGAAAAGGAAGAAAGTCACATGAAAGCACTTAAGAAACACACCGGTACATTCAAAACCGGTATCATTCCTGTTACACCAGATTTCCCGGGTGTCAGAGCGAAAAGAGCCCTGGGGAGAGCTTCCCCCACCCACAGAGAGACCCAGAGAGGGGCCAAGGCTTGCCTCAGGCCGCACAGCAGGGCCCCAGCAGGGCAAAGGCTCCGTTAGGCAAAGGGTGCTGGGACTTTCCTCTCTTGGGCACCCTGTGCCTCAGCCCTTTTCAGCCTGCCCCGCTCACCAAGACACCCCCACCCCCGGCCCAGGGTTCAGACGCACCGGCTGGGACCTGTCCTCCCACATCACACTGGAACCACCCTGGGTCACAGCGATGCTCGGCCTTCTGACCCTGTCCAGTCCCCGTGCGTCCCCCTACCTGGGCCCGGCTCCCCCTGCCCGCACCTGCGCTCTGGGTTGCTTGCTACCTGTGGCGGGGTCCCTCTGTGGCTGCCTGCCTCCTCCTCCGCGCAAGGCACTGTGGGGCCTCTTTATCCTCAACGTGAAGCCACCACCTTGTCACTGAGCCTCAGTTTCCCCATCTTTACATAGAATGTGATGAAACGGTGGCTTTTACACCATTTTAGCAATGGACAAACAGCTGTTCTCTTTTAAGCAGGGAGATGGGGTCCTCCTCCCACAGGGCCTGGAAATTTGAGGGTTATGTATGTATAAATATACATAAATACACACACACACACACACACACACACACACTCAATTGATGCTAGCAGGCCAGGCCCAGAGACCCAGAGGGGATACCACAGGACCAGCCAAGAGGGCTGTCAGCTTCACACAGGATGGAGTGGCTCAAATGTGAGCCAGCAGGAGGTGAAAGCAGAGTTTACTGGAGAGAGAGAGAGAGAGAGAGAGAGAGAGAGAGAGAGAGAAGATACAGAGGGACTGAGTGTCCAGGAGATTCAGAAAGGAGAGAAGAGAGCTTGGTCTTTGCTTGGCATCTGGGGTTTTTATTGACGATTGTGGTCTGGTGCACGTGTCCTGTGGGGCATCCAGGAAGTGGGCCGATCAAGGGCCGGGGTCCGAGTGTCCTTCACTGAAGCCCTGAAGCCCAGGGTCTTGGCGTCAGGGTGTCTGGAGTCAGTGGTCTTGGAGAATGTTTAGGACGACCCTGCCCGGTCACCCCTTAGATTATCTGTGGTGCTGGAAGTGTCCAAAGGAATCATTAACTCCTTGACCTTTACGAGGAGGACAGGCATTAAGGTGTGTGTAAGGCAGGCGTGCAGGTCCCAGCAAGAACGGAAGTGGGAAAAGAAGCAAAGGCAAAAAACAAAACAAAACCAAACAAAACCACGGCTTTTCTCCACAGGGTCCCTCCAGTTTTCCTGCCTCCCACTGGTTTTGCAGGTGTCCCAGAGCCTAGATGCAACACAAAACTTGAACATCACTGAACTGGATATTTCTTCAGCGTCCTTTCACCTCTAGACACAAGTCAGGACTAGGCTGAGCTGCGAGGAACAGAATCAAAAAGCAAAACAAGACAAAACACTGGGCTGGGGCTTCAGTCACAGAGGGATTGTCCTCCTCCCCTACCAGGAAGACCGGACCCTCATGATCACAAAATGGCTGCTTCCACTCCGGCATCCTGTCTGTGCTCCGAGCAGGAAGAGAGGGACTGGCAAAGAGCTAGAAGCCCATACCAGTCGGGTGACCTGCCTTTAAAGACTCTGCCGGAAGCCTCACCCCGTGAATCTGCTTATATTTCATGGGCCAGAATGGGTCTGGGAAAAATAGTTTGGGGTTTTTTAATCTGGGCCCGTCGCCACCGTGAAGAAAGCCTGGGTCCGATGAGTAAAGCTGATGAAGAGGGTGGTGGGCAACTATAAAGGTGTCAGCCAGTCCCAGCCTGCCATTAACATGCGTGCTCTGGGACACACTCCCTCTCGGCCCCAGGCCTCAGTGTCCCCACTTCAAAACTGGGAGAATTGGGCCCAGATGCTATCGGGCCATCTCCAGCTCTGATTGCTTGGGTGTAAATCCTGCCTCCACTACCTCCTGGCTGTGTGACCTGGGGCAGGCCCCTTTCCCTCTCTGAGCCTCAGCCGCTCATCTCATGAAATGAGAGGCCAGATGCTGTTTGGGGCCCTAGCGGCTCTGAGAGTTGCTCTCAGAAGCCGGGCCGGGCTGTTGACAGGACAGCAGCTCTCTTCCTGGGCTTGAGGGCAGGCGAGGTGGGGGGCGGGGGTGTTGGAGAGGAAGGGGTCAGCTGGTTTCCTGTGGCCGGGGCGGTGACCTGGGCAGCATGGACTTCCTGTTTCCCAGGGGGAATCTGGGGCTGCTGTAGTCCAAAACCGTCGCTGGGGCAACCTTCCCTGCGTCATCTCCCCGGTCAGCGTGTGCTTGAGGGAGGCGCTCGCAACAATGGCCCTTTGTGTCCACAGCTCTGCCGGCCCCGGCCCGAGGAGCCTCGTGCCCGCCCATTTTCCAGATAAGAAAGCTGTGGCATAGGTAGGTAAAGTCACTTGCCCACAGTCACAAGGCTGGTGAGAATTAAGGCAGGAATTGGGACCTGAGTCTTCTGAAAACATCCACGGCCCTTAGCACCAGACTGTCCTTTGGGGCCCCCCCCGGACCCCGAAAGAGCCTAGAGTTTGACCCTCCAGTGGCCCGAGGACCTAGGATGTGACCCTCAAGAGGAGCGGGTAGGGGCGCCTGGGTGGCTCAGTCGGTTGAGCGTCTGACTTCAGCTCAGGCCGCGATCTCGCAGCGCATGAGTTCGAGCCCCGCATCGGGTTCGCTGCTGTCAGCCCGCTTTGGATCCTCTGTCCCCCTTTCTCTGCCCCTCCCCTGCTTGCGCTCTCCCCAAAATAAATAAATATTACCAAAAAAAAAAAAAAAAAAGAGAGAGAGAGAGAGAGAGAGAGAGGAGGGGTTAGGCGTGGAAGTGACCCGAGACAAAGCTGTTAAGACAAGGGAGTCCTGCCCCCACCCCTGGCCTGAACCAAGCTTCCAGAACAGGACAGGTAATAGTAACGGATAAAAGCGCGCCTACTGAGCAGTTCCAATGCGCCAGGTGCCTTCGGTGTGGATTAATCTGTTTGCTCTGACAAGCAACCCGAAGAGGCGAGTATGGTTATTATCCCCATTTCATAGATCAGAAAACTGAGGTTGCTGAGACTTACCTGCCAAGTGCGGGAGCTGGGCTGGGAACACACACCTAGGTCCAGAACAATCCCCGTGCACCCGGGAGGGGCTGAGGGAGCCCCAGCGCTGGACAGCTCGGGATCTGTGACATCCGACGGCTGACCTCGAAGGCCACTCAGGCAGGAGGGCATCTCAACGGAGCCAGTGTGGGGTAGCCACAGCCCAGAGGGCAGGCCCTCAGCCCCAGTTCCTGGCACCAGGCCTGCCCTTTCTCCCCAACCTGGACACATTCCCAGTTAGGGGGTCCCCAAATGACTGAGGTTCCTGTCCTGCTACCCTCAGTGAAAAGAAGTCAGTGACAAAAAAGAAAGTTACACTTCTTATAAACTAGCTCTGTGACTCCATATCTGATACTCTCTCATCAAACCCATTACACGGATGCGCAAACTGAGACTTTAGATAAGTAATAAAGATGTGCATTCCAGCCAATGAGCTCACAGGCTCCTTGGGTCAGTTTGGGCAGACCTGGATGGACAGTGGGACAAGCTGGGGCTGGAGACTCTGACAGTTCCTAGGTTCAAATCCTATCTCTGCCACATGGTTGCTGTGCGACCTTAAGCAAACGGCCTCTCTGACATCAGTTTGATAATAGCCTCCTTCATTCATTTGTGCCACATACACTTATTGAGTACCTACTATGTGCCAGCGGCTGTGCTAAGAACCAGGGATTCAGAGCGAATGCACCTTTTAAGGGGACGTCAGGATCCACCTGACAAGTGGTGGACCGGTCCCCTTTCCTTCCCCACCCCTGAGTGTACCCCATAGCACCTGACTCAGGGCCCTGCCTCTGCATGTACAACAACATAAATATCTCTCACGGTGGTTCGCAGATGCTCTCACTGGAGTCTGAGGTGGGTGGTGCCCGAGACAGCTGGGCGAGAATCCCTCTTCCGAGGCCCCATTATTACCTTTGTGTTTTCCAGAACTATTGACTTTGCACGGCCACCTGCTGTCCCGCCGGCAGAGGTGTGGCCACATGGCTGGGAATGGAAGTCGCTGGGTGGGGCTGGCTCTCAGCCACTGCTCGGGCATAAGAAAACACTCCCATCTGGGGAGGGGAAGCCCCTGGAATCCATTCCAGCCAGCCTGCCCCGGGCCGCGGGCTCTCAGCCTTCCTTCCGGAGGGTAGCCCCATGCAGAGCCAGCCCTGGGTGGCAGGGTCACGGGAGGGCTCCAGATAGGTGTGTGTATGTGTGTGTGTGTGTGTGTGTGTGTGTGTGTGTGTGTAACTGCGTGTCTATGTCTGTATGTATCTGAACCTCTGTGTGGGTCTGTGTGCATGTGTCTGTGTGTGTATATCTCAAGGTTACCAAGCCCCAGAGGGGAGTAGTGCCCCGAGACCATCCCAAATGCACTGAGGCAGACACACAAAACCTCTACACAGACCCATTACACGCCCACAGTCTTATACACACATAGGTGTACGTATACACATGGGCACACACCCATAACCACAGACACACACAAACATTTCTTCACCCAGGGACAAATACAAAGACACATTCGGACACCCAAGGGCTGGCCGGACCAAAGCCTAGGGGAGAGTGCTAACGCAGAGAGGACAGAGACGGGCCTTCAAAAGGCTCACGGCTAAGGGGACCCTGTGGGTCCCTCCCCGGAGCACAGGGTAAGCCGGGGCGGGGAGAGCACGGGGCCCGGAGGAGAGAAGGCCCAGCTCTGTAGACTGGAGTGCAGTCAAGGAGGGCTTCTCGGAGGAAGTGACAGAGCGAGCTTTGGAAAGAGTAGCCTGGCATCCCTCAGTCCATCCATTCTCAGAGGAATCGGTGTGGTGTGCTCTTTCCTAACAATTAAATAAGACACCGGGAGTCCAGAAGCTGGAAGGGGGGCTTGGCGGTGCATTTTGGGGTGTAATTGCCGGGTGAGAGGCGCAGGAAGATCTTACCTCAAACATCCATCAGCCTCTCCTCCGGCTAGGCCTCCCCCCTCCCCTGCCACCAGTCATTGTCCTACCTCCTCCCAGGGGTGTCCTTCCCCCCCCCCCCACCCCCCATGTCTGGGGCTATCACTGTCCACCCACAGATCGTGTCCCTGGCCTCCAGGTAACAGAAAAACGCTTTCCTCCTTAGGGGAGTTTCCTCTTCTTTACTCCATGTGGGGGGCACAATCCCAAGGACCCAGCCCCTTGGCTCCAGGCTACATGAAAGACCCAGACCTGGCCGTTAAGCACCACATCTCCTGGCCAGTGATTGGCCACAGATGGTCAGGTGACCCTGGCCCAGCCAATCAGTCTCCTTCCCTGGGATTTTTGTGTGACCGCTGGAAAGGAGATGCTCTCAGTCTCCTTCCTGCCTCACACCCTAAAAGGCTGTGACTCCCAGCTACCTGTGGGAGTCACAGTGTGCCGTGTGGAGGAAAGCTATCTGGAATGGAAACGAATGAGCCCAGCAGGGCCAGGCAGAGTGGAGAGAAGGACGGCCCCCACCACTTTGTCAGAGTCTGATCCAGGAGCGTCCTGCTCAGCGATGACGGCCAACAAAGCCCCTTATTCTGGGTTCTGACTGGGTGTCTGCTCCCTGCAGGGAGAGGAGCCCAAGTAGCCCAGCTACCCTTCTCTTCCTTCCTGTCATCTGTCCTCACCCCCTGTTGCCATCTTCCACACATTCACATAGACATGGCCCCACCCACCTCCCCCTCCTCCCCAAACCCATCATCTCAAGCCCCCTGCCTCCCACCCTCAGCCTTGCATTGCTGACCCTCCCCAGAGGGGGCTGCCCTGGGGCTCCCACGGCCAGATCTTGCAGGATTGATGTTCCAGGCCCCGGGTGAGCAACCCGGCCCTCCCTGTTAGCAGGGCCCATAGAGCAGACCTGCCCCTGGTCAGGCCTGGGTATCTCTGCCCTCTTCTAAGGCATCAACACCCTCTCTGGTCTTCAGGCCTCCCGTCGTCTCTCTCTCTCTCCCCTCCAACCCACCATGCACTCTGCAGCCAGATCTCCCAAAAATGCAAATCTGTCAATGTCACTCCCCATCCGACAGAACTCTGGCCACTGTCTGTGCCCTCAGGGGTGACAGCCGTTAGCCTGCCTATCAGCTAGGTTACGGGTTTAGCCTCTCGGACACCGAAGAACACTAAACAAGAGAGAAGTTTATCTGACCCTCATAGAAGAATTCACACATAAAAGCATCCAGTGGCTGGCGCCTCTCGGCATCAGGCACACACATTCTTTCTGTCTTGTTCCATCATTCCTGGGCTGTTTTCCATGATCACCTTCCGGCCAATGGAATAGGGGAGCAGGTAGAGGAGAGGGCACACCACCGCCCTTTACAGGAACCTCCCTGAACCCGCTATACTTTTGCTCGCACCCTATTGGCCACATTAGTCACATGACCCCCAGACAGAAGGGAGGCTGGGAAATGTAGTCTGTATTCCAAGCCGCCGTGTGGTTACTGGGGGAGGGAGAGTGGATATCGGGGGTCGGCCACCGCCGCAGCCTGGCATTCAGGGCCCTTCTTGGCCAGCCTCGTCCTGGGGATGCGCACTTTTGCGCATGCTCTGCCTTCGCCCGCCTCCTCTTTTCTGCCTCCAGCTCCGAGAAGCCTTCCCGGACCAGCGCCGCTCCGGCCCCGGATGAAGCGTGTCCGTGCCCACTGTTGACACGGTGCTGTGTGGGGGCGTCCGTCTCCCGCCCCAGGCTGGGAGCAAGTCCAGGGCAGGGACCACAACTGACTCCATTCTGTGTCCCCACACCAAACCTGCAACCGGCTGGGCAGCGGGGAACACGGAATGAGGGCCCGACTGAGCAAGGGAACTGTCGAAATCGGAAATTCTCAGCTGGGGCATGACCATTGACTGAACGATGGCGGGCCCTGAATGTGACTGAGCTGATCAGGCAGGCGAGACATCTCTGGGGACCCCGCCTCCGTCGGTGCCGTTCCCCGCCCCCCAGTAGCTGGCCTGTGCCATCAGATGCGTAAACCTGACCCCCGGGGACTGTGTCTAAAGGCGCTGACGTTTTGGTCCCAAGGAGGGTGGGGACAATGTTGGTGCATTGGGGGGGGGGGGGGGTCGCGGCCTCCGCTCTGTATGATATGTGGCATGAAGAGCCTGTGCCCAGGGATAAGCCTGACCGAGGGGCCTGTGGCGATGACGGGTCAGGAGAAAACTACCCACAAGCCCCCACTCACAGAGCCCTCGGCCGGGTGGGCTACAGAAAGAACAACAAAAGGTTAGGGAACTACACCTTCATCCTGACCCCTGGGACGAGAGGGGCCCACTGGAGGCAGAAGACATTGTGACACGGACGGCACGTTACTTCAAGTGCTCTGTGCCTCAGTTTCCCCCCTGCAGAGGGGATAACAGCAGTGCCTTCCTTGTGGGGTCATAGTGAAGATTAAGGGGTTAATCCGCGCCCGGCGCCACCCCAGGGCTCGGCCGGTCTAAGTGCCCACAGAGAGCGCAGAGGGGTGATGAAAATACACCGGCTCTGGGCTCAGACCGGCCTGAGAGGGCGTCCCAGTTCCCCTCGCTGAGCCTCAGTTTTCTCATCTGTGAAGTGGGGGTGCCGACACCGCCGGACCTCGGGGGGCCCGGAGAGCTTCACTGAGACAAGGGTGTGGCGGGCTTGGTACCGGGGAGCCCTCTCTTCATCCCCCAAGACCGGGGCGGGAGGGACGGGGCAGAGATGCCTCCCAGCTCCCCCTGCTGTAGACACAGCCTGGGGAGGGGGAGGCCGCCTGGCGAATAATCTTGTTAATGGTAATCATCACCCTGATGCTCGTTAATGTGATGACACTGGGCTCCCAGCCGCTGCCTGGCTCAGTGCTGCTCCGCGCGCCTCCTCTCCGCCTGGCAGGGGCTCCGTAAACACTCATTACGCTCCGTCCCCCGGGGAGGCCGCCAGGAGAAGCCGCTATTCCGGGCACACAGACCAACTCCGGGCCTCCGGCTCTGCTGGTAACCGGCATCCCCACACTCGCTCCCGCACGTGCGCGTGCGCGTGCGCACACCCTCGCAGTCACGGACACACTCATCCACCCTGTCACGCACACCGAGGGCACACGCTCACACACTCAGACATGCACACGCATGGGGGCCGCACGCGTAGGCGCGCGCACACACACCGGGGACATACACATTCACACGCACGCAGGCGCGCGCACACTCACGCACTGGGGCCACACACACACACACACACACGCAGTCACACACAGCTGTGCAGCACTTTCCAGTCTCCTCGCTGACCACGGCTAATTGCTCACGATGATGGAGGCTTACTGTCCTGCCCATCTTGCAGCTGAGGAAACGGAGGCACCCGGGGGGTTATAGTCACCAGCCCATCAAGCGGGGACCGCTGGGTCCCGAGTGCAGGGGAGGCCTGCGTGTGACCCTAACCCGCCTCAGAGGATATCAGCTCGTTCAGTCCCCATGGCAGTTCTGGGTCCTGTTGTCCCCATCGCACTCATGAGGAAATGGGCTCAGAGAAGTGATAGCATCTGCCTAGGAACACACAGCCAGGATCCATGCGCTACCTGACTTCAGAGCCTTCCCCCTCCCCTTAAAGGGGAAGAAACTGGGGCCCCGGGAGATTAAACCACCCCGGGGATCGACACTGAGAGCCAGGGCCAGCTCAAAGGCCTGCAGTCCAGGGCACCGGCCTCCCGCCCTCCCCCGAACAATGACCCTCTTAGAGACCTTCTTTCGGAGCCAGAACCAGTCGCCGGGCCGCAGGGGGATTCAGCATCACCGTGTTTCAGCCTCCTCCCCCTCCAGCCCCAGGGTTCCTCCAGGCCGCTGCAATTCTGTGTTGCCAGCCCCGGCTGCTTGTCCCCGGGCCAGTCGCATCCCATCACCTCTCCGGGCCTGAGCTTCCTCAAGACAAAGACCACAGCTGACACTCGGGGGCGTTCATGACATCCCAGGATTGTTCTATGAGCTTCCATGTAAGGGTTCACTTTACCCTCATTCTTGCCCTGAAAGGAAGGTAGGAAAAGAGTCTCTGGCTTTTAAGATTCTGTTATTCTACGGGATTCTATGATTCCCACGGGGTCTGTTGTGAAAGATCCTAAAAAGACTCCATGATTCTGGGAGACTCAGGTGCTGGAAGGTTTCATCCACTGGCCTGAGGATCACAGAGTTAAAGGATGTCATGAATTGGTGATTCGTGGAGCCCCACGAGCCTCAAGGGCGAGAGGCAATTTGTTAGCCCTCAGCCAGCCTCGAAGGCCACCGTGTGTCCACCCCCTTACCCCGCCCCCTCCCTCAGCTATGACATCGGAGCCACAGCCAAGGCAGAACAGCCTGTCTCTATGACATGGCTCTGAGGCCAGGGCCAGCGAGGACTGTGGGGGCCGCCGGAGTGCGGGGCGGATCACTTGCACACAAAGGGCTCCATGGACCCGCCTCCGCTGCCCTGGCCGAGCCTCACACACAATGGAAGGACCTGTCGAGGCCGCACCGAGCCTGCCCCCTCTCTCAGCCAGAGACACCCAGAAATGCCGCTGAGTTCAGTCCCAGAGCAGGCCGCCTCCCTGCTCAGAAGGGCCCCTGCCAGGAAGCGGGGCGGACAGAGAAAAGCAGGTGCCTCTTCCCTCTTCTTAGCGGTTCTGACCTCTCTACCTGTGCTCCTACAGTCCCCCTGCCTGGCACACCCCTCTCCCCTCCCGCTCTCTCTGTAAATCCTTCCAGGCCCAGCTCAGGTCCCACCTCCTCCAGGAAAACCTGCCTGGTTACTCTAACCCTCACAGATTTCCTCCCTCACCTGAGTCGTGTGTGTTACATGACGTTGGGTGCTAACGTGTGGCCCCAACATTCCAGAGTTACCCTCCTCGCTATCACCAGAGCAATTTTTCTGGACCACAAAGGTGACCTTGTCCCTCTCTTTCTGTGGATCTTGACTCTCCAGCGTGGTATTCACACCCATTCCCAACTCTAAACCCATCCTTTTTATCTGTCTTTTTTTCCTGCCTTGGATCCATGCACTAAGCCTTGGCCAGATGAAGTAAGGATCCACCTCCCAGACTACGCAGTCACAGGGGAAGCCTTTCTAAGGCTGGGGCAGCTGTGACCCTGCCTCGATGCCAAGAAACAGATGTTGAGGGTCCCCTCCCCTACCTCATCCTACACATACACATACGCACGCGCACACACACGCACACACGCATGCATTCACGCACGCACGAACACATGCACACACCAAGCTGCCCCCAGGGAGCCCCCTGGGATTTGCAGCCTTAGCGTGTGTGTTGGTACCACGGACAGCACCGGAAAGGGGTTCGGGGGGACGGGCACTGGGTGCTACTAAAATCCACCCCTATACACACGTCCTGGGACGTTCATGGATTTCATACAGCAGGCATTTGTTGAACACCACCCTCGTGCCCCACCCCTGCGAGGTGTTATGGAAAATACCAGAAGGAAAGATATTGACTGTCACTGTCCCCAAGGGACTTACAATCTGGTTGGGGAATTGATTGTCTTGCCAGCAATTTCCCACCCACCTGCCCCTGAGCTACCAAGGCCATGTTTACAAAACTGTAAATCTGACCATATATCGCTCCCTAAAAAGTTGCACAGCAACCCCCCACATTGCTTATACGAGAAACCCTCACCACCCCCCATGAACCCAACACTCCAGACCCACTTGATCTCCACCAGTCCCCAAATAACCTGGGGTGCCTTTTGCACCCTTTCCTCCTCGTTTAAGGATTGTCTCCCCCTCTTCTTTTCACAGGGAACTCCTACACAGCCTTCAAAACTCAAATATTTTCTTCTGGAAGCCCCAAAGTTAATTGTCCCCTCCTCTGTACTCCCAGAGGCTTGGTGCATATCCATATCAGCAGGCGGCATTGAACTCTGACTTGGCGTGTGCCCGTCTCACACAGAAGCTAGCTACCTTTGTCTGGGCCGGTGAGAACAGGCGCGGCGATTGCCAGAAGGTTCTTAGAAAGAACCTCAGTTGATCAACCACGGCTCCAACAGTGCTCATATTTGACAACTTCAGATTTACTGGGAAGCCTAAAAATAATGCCAAAGCTGTGCTTTTTATATCCCTCTTTCACTGAAGAAACCTGCCTGCCTTGTCTTTGGGAAGAGGGAGCCTTAATTATTATATAGACCATATGCCCAATAACTGATAGAATATGGTTAAATAAAACATAGCCTCTAACGGATCGAATGCAGATGTGAGGCTCAGCCCTGTCCCTCCCACATCGTAGGGATTCTCAGGCATCTGATTCCAGGTCTAGCTTCTCTACCTCAGCCTGTGAGTCTCCCAAGGGCCAGGACTGTGGGTCTTTTAATTCCATATCCCTGGTACCCAGCACAGTGGCTGGGACACAGTAGGCATCTCCCAATATTGGGTGAATGACTAACAGACTGGAACAAGTCACGTGGGCTCCAGGTCAGATGTCCTAGGTTCAAATCAAATCTTCATTTCACCATGTATTAGCTGTGTAATTTCAGACACATTTTTTCAAAAAAAAATTTTTAATGTTTTTATTTATTTTTGAGACAGAGAGAGACAGAGCATGAGCAGGGGAGAGGCAGAGAGGGGAAGACACAGAATCTGAGGCAGGCTTCAGGCTCTGAGCTGTCAGCACAGAGCCTGATGCGGGGCTTGAACTCACGGAGTGTGAGATCATGACCTGAGCTGAAGTCAGACGCTTAACTGACTGAGCCACCCAGGTGCCCCACACATTTTTTTTTTTTTAAGTTTATTTATTTTGAGAAGAGAGGGTGGAGGAAGAGAGAGAGAGAGAGAGAGAGAGAATCCCAAGCAGGCTCTGCACTGTTAGCATGGAGCCCGACGCAGAACTCGATCTCACAAACCATGAGATCATGACCTGAGCTGAGATCAAGAGTCAGAAGCTCAACCACCTGAACCACCCAGGAGCCCCTGAGACACATGTTAAAAGGGTCTCGGTGTTCTCATCTGTAAAATGGGCATATTAACAGTATATACCTCATGGGGTTATTTCTGACATCTAAATGAAACACTATAGAAAGGAACAGGCTGGCTAATTGTAAGTGTCCAATAAAGGGTCATTGTTTTTATCACTACCGTTGTGTTAAATTGTGTGGTTTCTACATACGCCCATTGGAATTCCGAGAAAAGAGAGAGCACCGTGCCGTGGAGAAATTCAAGATGACTACTGGCTAATATCCATGAAGCATTCTCTACGTACCGTGCATCAACTTACCTAAACCTCAGGACCCTTCTATGAGGTGGGTACTGTGATTATCCCTATTTTATCCCCATAAGGAAACTGAGGCACAAGAGATTAAATAACTTGCCTGAGATTACTTAGCCAATAAGTTGAGGAGGCAGGACTCAAACCGGGGCAGTGAGGCCCCAGTCTGTTAACCTCAAGAAAGCTGGGGGCTGGGCTGGGCCTTGAAGGTCAAGCCGTGAGGCAGAGCCACCTATGGTGGGAAGAAGAACTTTTCTGTTCACACCCTTGCCAACAGCCAACCCACAGGCTCTCCCTCGAGCCTGGGTCCCTCCCCCTCGTTCACCGACGGCCTCCCTCAGGCCTTCCCTGCTCTCCATCCTCTTCTCTTCCAGGCCTATTTCCTCCTGGCCTCCTGGCCTCCTATTCTTACCAGTCCCAAAGACTAATGCTGCCTGGGGGTTCCTGGGAAGGCGTCGTGGAGCAGGGCTTTGAAGGACCCATAGGAGTTTGCCGGGAGAGCGGGGGAGTCCAGGTCGCCTGTACAGTTTTATTACCTACGCCCTCAGTCTTCTCGGAGTCTATAGGCCTCAGTTTCCCCATCTGTAAGCATGAAAGTAACGAGTGCCTACCACGTCTCATGATTTTTGTAAAGATTAAATATATCACTCCGCTGAGGCTGCCATAATGAAATCTGACAGACTGGGTTTACTGTCTTAGACAAGGGACGTTTGTTCCCTCGGAGTCCGGGGGGCTGGCAGTCTGAGAGGCGGGTGGCCACACGGCCGGCTTCTACTGAGAGCCCTCTTCCTGCCTTGCTGTGTCCTCACATGGCCTTCCTCTGTGCTCACACAGAGAGAGTGCTCAAACGCTCTCATGTCTCTTACAAGGTAAAGACACTAATCCTATTGGGTAAGTGTCCCAGGGCCCCAGTCTTATGACCTCACTTAACCTTTATTACTTCCTTAGAAGCCCTGTCTCTAAGTACAGTCACATCGGGGGTTAAGGCTTCAAAATATGGATTGTGGGGGAGACGATTCAGTCCATAGCAGAAAATGGGCTCATATGTCAAAAACGATGCTATTTTAAATAAACACCTGTATAGCACTGACCACGTGCCGGGCCCTGTTCTAAATGCACGCGTATTAAAAAGCACTTAGGGGGCGCCTGGGTGGCTCAGTCGGCTGTCTGGCTCTTGATTTCAACTCCGGTCGTGATCTCAGGGTCGTGGGATCGAGCCCTGCGTCAGGCTCTGCACAGATCATGGAACCTGCTTAAGATTCTCTCTCTCTCTCCCTCTGTCCTTCTCCCCCACTCACACTCTCTCTAAAAATAAAAATTAAAAAAAAAATTTTTTTTTTCAATTTTAAAGCACTTAGGATGTTGTGAGTGCGGTCCATGCAGTCCGTGGTGACTGCCGTTCCTGGGAAGACCACCCCCGTTGCTGTTGGGCACCTGCTGTGTGCTGGGCATCATGCTGGGCACATGGCTCTGCCTTGCCTCCGGATCCCCACAAACCCCTTTAGTGGTCCCCACTGTGCCCATTATACAGAGGAGGAAGCCAAAGTCAGGAGGCAAAGTGGCTTGCCCCAGGACAGCCCGGGAAGAACTGGCCGAGGCCGGGGGATGACCCCCAGCCGTTCATGCCAAAGCCTGTGCCTTGACCTTGCAGCCTACTCAGAGCCTACTTCAGTATTCCCAGCAAGACGTGACAAAGGTCTAGACTTGGCCAGAGCCTTGTAGATGGAGAGAAATGACCCAACCCAATGTCCTTCAAAGTGGGAGGAGTAACCCCCAGCCAGCCCACCTCACGGGACTGGCGTGAACAGCGAACAAGGCCAAAGATCCCCCGGAAAGCCGTGACCCGCCGCCCGCGTGGGAAGGGCGGTGTCTGTTCCTCCTTCTGGCAAGAGGCTGACACCTCTAGAGGAGGGTAGGCCACCGCCACGTCCGTCGTCACTATTCCATGGGAGTTCTTCCATCAGAGAAGTTCGCGGGAGTCAGCGTCCGTGGCAGGGGAGGGGACGAGGCCGGTGAAGGTGCTGGCCCCCTGGAAGTGGACCACACAAAGCAGGGGAGATGTGACATTGCAGAAGCCCCCGGTCGGGGCGGGGGACGCGGAGGGGGTGTAGGGCAGGCAGGGGCCCGGGGCGCAGGGGCCTGGGGCACAGGGTCAGAAGACCTAGTTTTGCCTTTGCTGGCGTGAGACCCTGGCAAGACCTCATGCCCCCGGCGATCAATTTCTTTTTCTTTTCTTTTCTTTTTTTTTTTTTTAACATCTTTGAATGAAGCATTCAAAATTTAAACTTCAGGTCGATAGAATAATTTAATGAACCCCCATGTGCCCATCCTTCAGCTTCTCCAATTACCAGCCTAAATCTCACGTCGCCCCCTCTGCTTGCCCACCCGCGCCCTCCTCCCTGCGCTTGCCGTGAGCCCGTCACAAGCATCCTATCGTTTTATCTGCAAATATTCCAGTCTACATAAGGATAAGGATGCTTTAAAGAAGAAACACACATATTTATAGGACCACTGTCACATCTAGGAACACGGACAATGATCCTTTTACAACAACTATTCATTCATAGGTCAGATTTCCACCTGCCTCATAATTAGCTTGGAGTTTTGGTGGTTTTTTTTGTTTTTGTTGTTTGTTTTTTTAAAATCTGAATTGGGATCTGAATCAAGTTCCCACGTTGATTAGCTAACAAGCCTTTTAAGCTTACCTGTAAATTACCGCTTCATCTTGCAAGAATGTGTGAGAACTTAATTGAAGAAACTGGGTCATCTGTCCTTTAGAAGTGCCCCCGCAGTGTGGGGCTTTGCTCACAGGCTCGCTGTCTCTATCTGTGAGGGGTGGGGGGCAATCGGGGTCTCCCAGGATGAAAGCAGGGAGCGTCTGTGAATGGGCACTGACCACGAGAAAGCGCCCAGCAAATATGTCCTGCGTTAACATATCTTTTGAGTCTGTCCCTATGCCCGTGGCCTCTGTTTCTCTGACGGCCTCGCTGAGGTTCAGAGAAGCTTAGGAACCTGTCCGTGCTCGCACAGCGGCTATCGGTAGAGGAAGGAAATGAAAGGGTAAAACTGAATTTTGACACCAGGAGGAGACCCAGGTTTGGCTCCCACTCCATTCTTTCATAGCTCTCTGGCCTCAGGTTTCTCGAACTCTCTGAGCCTCAATTTCCACCGACCAGGAGGCCAGACCTGCCCGAGGCTGTAATGAGGTGATGGGAGAAGTGCCCACCGCCCTCCCCCCATCAGGGCACCCCGCACGGTGTCTCACCCCAGCGCTTTGGCAATCTGCTCCCTGGCCCTAATCCCCTCCCCCGCTCGCACGCCAGGTCCAGCCTCTGTCCTCCCCAAGTGCAGAGAAGGCTAGAAGGCTCGAAGCTCTGGGGGCCGTAAGCCTGGCCCCTCCGTCTGCCCCCCTGCGGGTCGGCAGAGACAGGGTGGGCGGCCTGGAAGCCGAGCTTCCTCCTCCTTCCCCCTCTGCCTGTCGCCCATCCCTGAGCCAAGGGGCCCGGAGAGAAACGCGACACCTCCCAGCAGCTCCTGTGTGCCCACGCGCCCATCTGCGAGGCCCCTGTGTATGACTTCCGGGCACCGACCCTGGGCGTCGCCGGCCCCAGCCCAAGCCATCGTTCACACCAGCGCTGACGCTGAAGTTTGGATTTCTACCCAGGTTCTGGGTCATTTCCTCATTCAGTAGGCAGCATGCTGGGCCCTGCAAATCATAACAACGATAATATGACAGCAACAGGGCGAGAAAACAGCCCCCAGCTGTAGAGCCCCTGCCCTAAGCCAGGCACGGTTCAAAGCACCGGACGCATAGGGCAGGTACCACTATTGTCCCCATTTTATAGGCGAGGAAACTGAGCCCTGGGTTTGAATAAGCTGCCCGAGGTCGCACAGCTAGTCAGCGAGCAGAGCTGGGATTGGCATAAAGGTTTGCCTGTAAAAGACCGAAGCCACAGGGGCGTCTGGGTGACTCAGTCGTTTGAGCCTCT